CATTAATTATTTATAGGAGGCACCTTCTGTAAAAACTGCCTCATGGTCTCTTAAAGGAGTTGCTGTATTTTGCTTCTTTATGGTGCCTGAATTTTTCTTTTGGATCCCCCTCATGTTTGCTTTCTTCTTGTTTACTTCCTCATGTTCCTTTTGCCTTCTCACTTCCTCCTTTGCTTCAATTTACCCTCAGAGTGGGGGTGATGAAGAGGCCTCTTGGTATAGGGTCAGAAGGTGGAGAAGGGGGTGGATGATCAAGGAAAAGCAAGAAGGAAAAAAAGAAGGAAAGAGTAAGAGAAAATAAAAGAAACCAAAAAAAGGTGGGCAGAAGAGGGACTAACAGAAAAAAATTGAAGAACAGGTGAGAAGGTGAATAGGAAATGAGAATTAGAGTCATAGAAGAAATGTTATTGTTCAACATGTTGCTAAGGCCATGCCTATAGCTTAAGGGTTTTGCGGAGCTGGGCTGGGTGGGTTCCTCTAAATCAGGCACTCTTTAGAACACAGCCAGACCCTTCTGCCACAAATAAGAGAAGAAAAAGAGAAAAAAAAAAAAAGAAGGAAAAATTGAGTAAGGATTAAAAAAAAAAAAAAAATAGAAAAGCTCTGCAGTGTGATCTTGCTAATACTTTCTTCCTGGGGCCAATGGTAAAAAGTTCTTCGGGCCTCCTTGAGCCAGATTACTATTGTAGTCTATTTGCCAGACCACAGCTGTGTCACATCCATCCTCAACAAAGGAAGGGGATGGAAAAGAAAAAAAGAAGAGAAAAAAAGGGATAAAAAGAAAAAATATTAAAATATGAATAGATAAAGGAAATTAAATGTACTGTTGAATCAAATAAGGGAGATGTAGGGAAGAGGAATAAAGAAAGTAAGAAGAAAGACAACAAAGAAGAAAGAAAGGGGGGGGGAATATTTTAGCTGATGCAGAAGCACATCATGTGGAAGAGATGAGAAAGTAGAAGAGTATCAACTGAGAGAATGCCAAAGAATGAAATAGGGTGAGAGAATAAATCAAGCCAAAATTCTGTAACCAAAAATAAATGAGCCCTTCCTTGCTCTTGTTGAATGTAAAAATGGAAGTCAGGAAAAGAACCAAACAACTTAGCAAAAAACAAAACACCTTGAAAAGAATTTTAAAAAGCACAAATAGCCTGATGTAAGCAATCTCAGCAACCAATAGAGGAAGGAAAGAAGAAACAAAAATTAACAAGAATAACATCACATTGCCCTGCATCTTAGCAGTCTTGATAATGGCCTTTTCCTTCATTTTGCCCTGAGACTGAACCTTTCTTCTGCCCCAGGGAAGAGTAACTCAATCCATTGTCCTGGTAATGATTAAAGTAGATAGCACTGGAGGATGATCAGGTGAGGACAGCTTTTTGAAGAAAAAAAAATCTTCCAGCTCTTGGATTTCCCCACCTCCATTCACCCTCAGTCCCTCTGCTCTGCTCCAGCTACTTTTAGAGATGAGGTCTCGTTGGTCGGTGAGCTCAGGCAATCCCCTTGCCTTGGCATCCCAGAGTGCTAGAATTATAGGCATGAGCCACCACACTGGCCTAAAGTGAACTTTTTGGCTATTGTGTTGAGACTAGATTGGAGGACAAAGGTGGAAACTATTGATTGCAGCAATCCAGCCAAGCAAAGGTGGATAGCTATACAGGTGGTGAGAAGTCACTGACCTTCAGACAGATAAAAAGAGGTGAAAGTGGAGAGGTACAGCGTACAGGCCAGGTTTACCTTTTTTTTTTTTTTTTCAGAAAGAATCTCAAGCTGTTGCCCTGTGTAAAGTGCCATGGCACCATAGCTCACAGCAACCTCCAACTCTTGGGTTCAAGCAATCCTCTTGCCTCAGGTTCCCCCTGCTCCCCCATTGGAGACAGGGTTTTGCCTTTGCTGAGGCTAGTTTTGAACTTGTGAGCTCAAGCAATCCACCTGCCTCAGCCTCCCAGAGTGCTAGGATTACAGGTGTGAGCACCATGCTCAGCCCAGGCCAGGTTTATTAAAAAGAGACAGCAACACACCTGGGCAGGGTAAAGATGTCATCTGCACAAGGGGGCAATTAGAGACCTGCGTTATATGAGGCCATAGTGGGCAAATTTCACAGCCCACTGGAATGTGGGTTAGTGTCCTTGGGTGTGAATTTTGGGGGTGTGGCCAATTAGTTCCTTTATGTTGTCTTAGAAGAGGAGGTGGAAGGGTTCATGTAAGGCAGGGGTCTTCAAACTTTTTAAACAGATGGCCAGTTCACTAAGACTGTTGGAGGGCTGGACTGCAGGCCCCAGAAGAGTCAGCTGCTAAACAGGACAAGCAGCAGCGACAAAAACACCTGGGGGAGGAGATAAATGTCCTCCACGGGCTGCATGTGGCCCATGGGCCGTAGTTTGAGGACACCTGATGTAAGGCCTCCTTGTACCCCCAAGAGAAGGTACCAACATAATTGACTAAGAAAATGGATAAAAACCACTCCATTAAATAGTAGAACTCTTTTTTTAAAAGTAGGGAAAAATGCTAAAAATGCTATGAACAGCATTTCTTCACTTCTGATTCCACAGCCCTACAAGGAAAGAAGGCACTAGGTTTCTTAAAAATTGACTTGTCAAGATATTTCACAATATTAAACTCCTGACACAAGAAAGAAGATATATAGTAAAATATGGAGCAATATTAATGTCCTCCGAACAAGATACTATAGTATAGCTGTCTCTAAATCAGATAGCTGCCCACATTTCTACTCCAAATTATTGGAAACATAACTATCTTAGAGCAATCAACAAAGATTCTGACAAACTCAGTAGTCCTTCCAGTGACATCCAAAGAAAAAGCAAATCAAATGTGTCTATTGGATTGTAAGGATTCTCACGACTAATTTAAATTTCCATTATGGATATTCTGGACTGAAAGAGGTATATTATGCTCTCAATATCTTTTGATCAGTATTGCATCTTATTTTAGAGAGCCTCCTTTAATCTCAAAATTAATCTTAAAATTAATTTAGAATAAGAGAAGTTAGGCTTTGGGGCAACATATTGAAGAAAATGCAAATAAAAATATTTTAAACCCTTAAAAAAAGTATCCTCTGCTGCTCTTTTAGAGTTCTATACAATCAAACCAGTTCTTTTGTTCACAGATTACTCACTTGGGTGTGGTGACGCTCTTGCCTCATAATAAATGTAGTATGTACCACCAGGCTCTTTGGACTCTATATTAAAAGCCACTGTTGCCTGTTCAACAGATTATTAGTTTGATTCTTACATATGTTCAGAACCAAATCATCTAAGTAATTATACACAAGTTGAAAGAGTGTGTTTTAAACCACTTTTAAAACCATGGTCACCTGGTTAAGAACTAAACTCTAAACTATCAAGGTTCAGATTCCAGAGGTGCCATTTACTTCCCCTAGGTGTTAAGCTTCCTATCTTTAAAATTGGAATTCTCTGGTACTCGGGCAGTTGAGGCAGGAAGATAGCTCTGGTCAAAGAGGTCAAGACCAGCCGGAGTGTAAGAGCCAGACTTCATCTCTCTTTTTTTTTTCTCAGACAGGGTCTGGCTCTGTCGCCCAGGATAGAGTGCAGTAGGGCTATCAAAGCTCACTATAACCAGAACTCTCAGGCTTAAGGGATCTTCCTGCTTTAGCCTCCCAAGCAGCTATGGCTACAGACAGGGGTGTGACCCCTGCTCCCTACCTAATATTAAAATTTTTTGTAGCGACGAATCGCGTATGTTGCCCACAATGGTCTTGAACTACAGGACTCAAGTGATGCTCCACCGATGGCCTCCCAAAGCACTGAGATTACAAGCATGAACCACTATGCCATGTGTCATGTCTTCAAAAAAAACGAATAATGACATTTTCTTCCTTAAATTGTGAAGATTAAATGAGTTAATATTTGTAAAGTCTTTATTTAATTAAAAAGTTTTTTTTTGAGACAGAGTCTTAGTTGCCCTGGAGTTCAGTGCCATGGTGCTATTGCTCACAGCAACCTCGAAAGCCCGGGGGCTCAAGTGATCCTCTTGCCTTAGCCTCCCAAGTAGTGGGGACTGTAGCCTCTCCCCTCTCCCCCTAGCCACAATGCCCGGTTACTTTTTGGAGACAGGTCTCGCTCTTGCTCAGGGTGGTCTCTAACTCGTGAGCTCAAGTGGTCTGCCCGCCTCGCCCTCCTAAGAGTGCTGGGATTACAGGTGTGAGGCACCACGCCGGACTTTGTAAAGCCTTTAAAACAACTCCTGGCAATAACCAGTAGTTCATGTATTCATTATTATTCTAAGACCGTTGCCCCACAGAACCTCATGGATTTTAATTAATATACTCTAAAAAAACAGAGAAATGAAAACCATCACATTTTCCCAATGCTGCCTAATTTTATGAGCTGCATATAGCAAAGAAGGTAATATAGAAAAAAGGAATTCTGCGTTCCAAGTGTGCATTTTTTACTTTAAAAAATCAAGTTTGACCATCCTCGATAACCCTTTACTTACCATTACACTCATTCTTCCAAACACACTAATTTCTCAAAAAGGACAAGTAATCCTCTCCTCCCTTTCCGCTGTAGCCCCGCCCTCTTGCTTTTCCCAGGAGGGGCGGGTTGGGGTGGGGGTTAGCCTTACACAACCTAAAAAAAGGGGATGAGCATTCCCTGTACCACACTGAGATCTGGATGAACAGTGGGCGTTTAAGTGCTGATTATTTCTACAAGGTCGGCAATTACGACTTTAGAACACTAAATCACTCCAAATAGAAAAAACAGCCGTCGCGCTACGAGGCCTCAAAGCCAGGCTTAATTCTCCCTGGAAGCACCCAAGGAGCATCCACAGGCAAAGCCGAGCCCAGCAGTGAGCTGAGGAGAGAGGCTGCGCCCGCCCGCCGGCCCCGCGTCTGTCTTCGGGGCAGGCGGTTTAGCGCCCCACACCTCCTGGAGGCAGAGGGTCTCGGTTCCCCGCACCCACAGCGAAGAGGAACCCAAGGCGCGTCGACGCCGTAACGAGAGCGGGCGGGAGAAGGCCCGGCCGGAAGAGCAGCCGAGGCGCTGAGCAACTCGTTGGCGCGGAGGACCTCGCCCAGAGCCAGACCCAGCGCCGGACACCGTGAGGGAGCGCGCTGGGGGTCGCGGCGGCCGGGAGTGGGCGGGGCAGCAGCGGGAGGCCCTCGGGGCGTGCGCGCGTTTCCGGCGTGCGCGGCGGAGCGCTGGGCGGGGGCACCGCCAGCTCCCAATCGCGCACAATGAGACAGCGCTGAGCGCCGGAAGTGGGGCCGAAGGAAAACACGGAGAGGGAGCCCGGCCGGGACAGGAAGAGGCTGGGGACCACGGCGAGGGTGGTGAGTGCTCCCGGGCGTCTCCTCCCACGTCCCTCCCAGACTCGCCTCCGGGCTGGGTCTCCAATGGGTTCCCTGGTCTCTAGAGTAGAGGTCGGGGCTGGCTCCGGAGGTACGTTGGCTCCATCCTCAGCTGGCCTAGCCCCAGTTTGAGTGACTGGGGAGCCCCAAAGCCAGCGGGGACTGAGCTCTCTCGGGTTGTAGTTCGTGTCTTCACTTTGTGTCAGACACAGTGGGGGGCAGAAGAAGGGATTTGGGTTTAGGCATTCGGCCCGGCCCCTTTGCCAGCTGGGGGAGCCCCGGAACCCCATCGAGGCAGCAGGTCACTTCCTGCTTCCTGGTCCCCACTGTGGTTTCGTGGCCAGAAGTGCGGGGACGCCTCTTTTCTCAGCTTCGGGCTCCGAAGGGTGGAAACTGAGGCAGATCGTGGGTGGGGCTGTCGAATGGGAATGGGTGGTGAAAAGGAATGTCATTCCGCAGAGAATTGCTGTTCGTAACAAAACCAAACTTGTTTTAGGCTGAAGAACGAGGAATGGGGAGGTTAGCTGGAGTTGTCGTTTGGTCTGAAACCTAGCCCCTTTGGCTAGAGCGGTACCTTGATCAGGAGCCCAGCCTCAGCGTAGCCCAAGCGATTGAAGCAGGTCTGTTGCAGTTGATGAAATAACTTGGTTCACATAAAGTGTCGGTTACTGTGTAACACTTAAAAGTAATGCCAACTTTAAAAAAAAAAAAAACACTGTTTCGAGAGTTTTGTAACAGTTTTGGCTTGGGATGAGGTTTTCTCTGGAAAAAAGCACTTTTATATAGGTAAAAGCCAACCAACTTGGTATGAGTAACATTTTACTACACCACACAGTTCTTGAACCTTGTAGGAGCTTCTCTTATTCACAGATCTGATCTTCATGCTAACTGAGTACTAATTTTCATGAAAAATATTATAGGACTAAACCTCCTAACTTCCAGAGTAGTGTACTGATTACTAAGAATGTGATAGAAATTGTATTGAAAGAAAAAATAAGAAAAGAGGAGCTTCTTATAAGCTTTTGGGCTTCTGTATGATAAATGTGCCATTTTGTGTTCTTTTTTTGATATCCTGTTTGATGTGTCACCAAAATACCTTCTTTCAGGTGCAAAGTAAGAAAATTGAAGTCAAAGACCATGGGAGATGCAGCAAAACCTTATTTTGTGAAGCGCACAAAAGACCGAGGGACTATGGATGATGATGATTTCAGAAGGAGTCACCCCCAACAAGATTATTTAATAATGGATGATTATGCTAGAGGCCATAGCAGTAAAATGGAAAAAGGCCTTCCAAAAAAAAAGGTAGCACCAGGGAACTATGGGAATACCCCAAGAAAAGGACCATATACTGTTTCCAGCAATCCGTATGCATTTAAAAACCCAATCTACAGTCAGCCTGCTTGGATAAATGACAACCACAAAGATCAGAGTAAGAGATGGCTATCTGATGAACTTACTGGTAATTCAGACAATTGGAGAGAATTCAAACCTGGACCTAGAATTCCTGTTACAAACCGACCAAGGAAAGACTCTTTTCAAGAAAGCGAAGATGGTTATAGATGGCAAGACACAAGAGGCTGCAGAACTGTAAGACGACTATTTCATAAAGACCTATCAAGCCTAGAAACCATGTCAGAAATGGAAGCAGGAAGTCCTGGTAATGTGTTCTAACTTGTCAGGTTATAACTCCAAAGTCATCAGTGTCTTACTCTCTTTTTATACAAATGAGATTTGTTATTTTTAGCAATTCAATTTAAACTTTTCAAAGTTTCTGCTTTAAAAAGTGATCACTTATTTAATGTGATTAAGAGTTTTTATCATGATATTTGGGCAACTTCAACACGTTTCATACATGTGTTGATGCCTTGTCCTAGGGTTCATTTTACTTTATTAAATATTTCCTGTTTGTGTTTTTTTACAAGAAGGTGATTATATCCCCCTGGGATCATATCATAATTGCTGAGTGGTGTGTATGTATTTTCAAAATGTTGTACTGTAATTTTGTGTTCACATTATAAGAATAATTAATGTGTTCATATTATAAGTGATAATATAAAGCTAAAAAATATTTGATGTAAAAACAATATAGATTGCATATATCTCCTGTCACAAGAGGGATATATATTGTTAGTAGAGTATTAGACTCCCTAGAACTAATTTTTTTTTTTTTTAAGAGACAGCCTTATTTTATTGCCCTCGATAGAGTGGTGTGGCATCACAGCTCACAGCAACCTCCAACTCCTGGGCTTAGGCGATTCTTTTGTCTCAGCCTCCTGAGTAGCTAGGACCACAGGTGCCTCCCACAGCACCCAGCTATTTTTTGTTGCAGTTTGGCCAGGGCCAGGTTTGAACCACTCTGGGTACATGGGGCTAGTACCTTACCCACTGAGCCACAGGCGCCACACAGAACTACTATTTTTGCTTTTCAGAAGAGCATGGCAATTAGAGCACCACACCAGGCCAGGTGCTCTAATTTCATTTTGAAATTAGAAATTGAGAAGCATGAGAGTTTAGAAAGTCAGAAATATTGGCCTGGTGTGGTGGCTCATGCCTATAATCCCAGCACTTGGGAGGCTGAGGCAGGTGGATTGCCTGAGCTCATAGGTTTGAGACCAGCCTGAGCAAGAGCAAGACCTCATTCTAAAAAGTAGCTGGGCACTGTGGTGGGCACACGTAGTCCCAGCTACTTGGGAGGCTGAGGCAAGAGAATCATTTGAGCCCAAGAGTTTGAGGTTGCTGTGAGCTGTGACGCCAGCACACCCTACAAAGTGAGACCCTGTCTCCAAAAGAAAAAGAAAAAAGTAGAAAGTCAGAAGTACAGATAGATAAAAACTTTACTGTTTAATTTCAAGAAAACCAAAATCCATTTTCTTTAAATATTGGATTAATACCAGGTTAAATACAATGAGATTACATTATTTGTATTTGTTATGTAGCTTCCAGTTGTAATTGAGTCCTTCACCCATAGGGTGTGCCATATGTACCTTCATTGTACCCATTAGATGGGAGCTTACCTAGCTCCTTCCCCTCCTGGAATTTGTGTGTTTTTTTTTTTCTTTTCTTGTGTGGGCCTATAGTTGTTCATCTACTAGTTTCACCAAAACCCATTTCTAAGTGCCCTCACTTGCTTGGTTAATTGCCTCATTGTGATTATTTATGTGTTTTTCTAAAAGATAAAAAAAATAGATTGTCCAGGTAGCAATGATTTCTGTACACAGGAAGGTTATTTATTTTTTTATTTATTTATTTTTTTTGTAGAGACAGAGTCTCACTTTATTGCCTTAGGTAGAGTGCTATGGCGTCACACAGCTCACAGCAACCTCTAACTCCTGGGCTTAGGCAATTCTTTTGCCTCCGCCTCCTCAGTAGCTGGGACTATAGGCACCTGCAACAATGCCTGGCTATTTTTTTGTTGCAGTTTTGGCTGGGGCCGGGTTTGAACCCCCCACCTTCGGTATGTGGGGCCAGTGCCCTACCCACTGAGCCATAGGCGCCACCAGGAAGGTTATTTTTATCTGATGGATAGTATTTACCAAAATGAAATAAAAATTGGGTGGAAAAAGTGTAATAGTGTTTAGTGCAAAAATGAAAATTATAATTGGAAAAATGGACTTGGACTTGTATTATTGGCTACAAGCTTTTTTTTTTTTTAAGATAAAAGTCTCACTTTGTCACCCTCAGTAGAGTGCCATGGCATGATCATAGTTCACAGCAACCTCAGTCTTACGAGCTCAATCAATCCTCTTGCATCATCTTCCCAAGTAGCTGGGGCTATAGGCGCCCACTACAGGGCCCCGCTAGTTTTTCTGTTTTTAGTAGAGATACGGGTCTCTCCCTTGCTCAGGCTGGTCTCAAATTTGTGACCTCAGGCAGTTTGCCCACCTTGACCTCCCAGAATGCTAGGATTGTAGGTGTGAGCCACCGCACCCAACCTGTAAGCCTTTTTTAGTGACTGGACAGATGGGTTGCAAACTGGCTAGCACTTTTAAAATTTTTTGAGTTTAAATGCATTCAGGCAATATGGACATTTTGTAGTTTTCCAGATGCATTTTGGTCACGTTTCTCACAGTGGACAGTTGATGTATGTTATCTCTAAGGCATTTGAGGTTTTGACTTATGCATGTAGAACACTTAAAAGGGAAAGGTCATTTTTAATCTTAGGAGGTCTTGTGATAAAAATGAAAAACTAAAGCACTTGTTAATATTAAATGAAAAAATATGTGCTGTTTGATAATTTTTATAGGAAAATTAGGAGTAAATGCCAGTACCAAGTAGCAGAAACAGAATGAAGTGTTACAAAGGAATTAAACAGTAGGAAGAGATAAAACTTTAGCCATATAAATCTTTAAGTTATAAAGAATTTGAAGGGATTATTTGATGCTGTACTCTGTTGTGATATATCAGAGGTGGAGTGGCAATTTTATAAATTAGACAGCTGTAGCTCGGAGAGATTAAATTTATTCAGACCTGTGTATGCACAGTTATAGATTAGAAAGTGGAACAGAAACCAGGAACTGTGCTATTGTGACAATTTATTCAACCTTGCTGGACTTGAAGTCCTGACAGGGGAAAGTAAGCTTTTGATTTGTTTTTCTTTTTTAAAAACTGTATATATTTAAATATTTCTTTATACTATGTCTAGGTAGGATGTGAACATTTTAGTTACCTTGTTTTTAGGAAAATTAATCTTAAAAAGCATTTTAAAAAGAAAAGTTTACATATCAAAAATGCACAACCAGAAAAAAGGAACTATAAAACTCTTATATGTAATTATTTGGTTTTAAAAACAACTATAAAGAAGTTGCTTTTAAGTATGTTAGAACAAGAAATGCATTTTCTTTTTTTTTTTTTGCAGTTTTTGGCTGGAGCTGGGTTTGAACCTACCACCTCCACCATATAGAGCTGGTGCCCTACTCCTTTGAGCCACAGGCGCTGCCCAAGCAAATGCATTTTCAATTTCTGTCTTTATTGAAAGCAATCCAAAATTGTGCGTTTTTCTCTATATGAAATACAGGTGTATGCTTTTAGTTACTGTTCAGCTTTTATCCCTTGAAAGTCTTTATAAAGGAAGTATTAAACATGGGTATCACATTATTTACTACAGAGAAAAATTCAGTTTCAAGTATAAACTACATATATAGTAGTATATACTATACTATATACTATATCCTTTGCATGACATTCAAAGGATACTAAAAAGGATCTCATTAAAGGGATTCCAGTTTCCTTAAATCAAAAGTTTACTGAATAAGGAATAGTTTTTTTAAACAGTGTGAGGAGATGTAATGAAAATTATGTTAGAGCAGTTACTTCTTAAAAAAAATACAGTACTACTTTCTAGTTTTCATTTCTATATTACTACCTCACCTCATCCCTCAGATGTCATAGATTGCCATTTTAATATATTTGGGACAGTGCCATTAACGATCTTAGGTGGAAAACATCTGCTCAAATACATGTGTTCTTTGTGAATGGAATAATGGACCATATGCAAATAAAATATGTGAAACTTTGAATGCTGCATATAGAGAACTCTGACTACAATAAATCTGGGATGAACCAGGTATTCTTCTTCTGAGTAATTACGGAAAGTTTTCATCAGTACCCAGTTTTGTCTTCCAAGATTCCCTCCAGCAAGATTTTATTTAATAGTTTTTACCAGGCAGGCCTGTGAAACTCAGTTGCCTAATATTGCCTTGTCAGTTCTAGTCTATTGTAGATGTGAGTATGCTGCAAAAAAGGATTTTAATAATTTCTGGTTCTATATTGTTAGATAGAAGGCTGAATTTCAGAACTCCCATCTGTATTTTAATCTGTATTTCAAATCCCTTGAGTCCTTTGACTTAGCCATGTATCCTTGGACAAGCTATTCCCTTGGACCAGCATTGTCCCCATCTATACAATGGGAAAATACTAGCATCCATGACAGGTTACTATAGTAATTTAGCATGGCAGTGCATATCAAGTGCTTGCTTTACATCTGTTGCTTAATACTCAGCATGATAGCTGCTGTTAACAGTCATCCAATAGAGTTCCTGCAGCCATCATCTTCTCTGTATAAAAGCAATAGAATTAATTGTGGTCTTTGGAGATAGAGAAGTCACTCTTAATAGGAAATGACAGCAATTATAGTTATTAAGAAAAAGAGAATAGGAGTTAAAAAGGAACTTGGTTAACATCATTTACTCTTTTATAAACTAATGAGGACTCTTCTAAAGGATTCTGCACATATTAGTATAAATCTTTAATAAGTGTTTGCCTAAGAAACTTCTGTCATGAACAACTAAAGTTAGATTGCAATTAGAGAAAGATAGTGTTTATAATGATAAGCAAATTAAATGAGAATGGACACATCTCTTAAGTAAAAAGTGCTGTCTCAGAAGATGGTTCAGACCACAAATTCTGGCCTTAAAAGATTATGATAATTTAATTGGAAGTAGGGGGCTATTAAAAAGGAAATGTTAAAGTAACCTGATTTTTTTTTATTTAAATGACTACCTTTTAGTATTTTATTTGTTCAGTCTATTTTGATTGAATTTTTAAAACTATGTTTTTCTTGATACTTCGTTAGTTATTAAATTGTCATATATTATATTATAGAAGCTATTTGCAGAATTTCATTATAGTCATCTCAGGTAGTTTGAGCACAATGCTTGCCTGCTTTTTCTTTAAAGCTCTTGGCAATGCTTTTTCTTTCTTTTTTTTTTTTTTTTTGCAGTTTTTGGCCAGGGCTGGGTTTGAACCCGCCACCTCCGGTATATGGAGGTAGCACCCTACTCCTTTGAGCCACAGGTGCCACCCTCTTTTTCTTTTTTTAAATAATTGGAGAGCCTGTACCTCCTTTTCTGTCAGAATTTTTTCTTTTTTTCAGTCAGTCAGTTCATTGTAATTGCCATACTAGTAATGAGTTCCTCTGAAAACTTGACAAAGGAATTGCCTCATGCAGGACATTTCAGTCAGTTTATATTTCTAAGGACTGATTTATTTATTTATTTATTTATATTAAACCTGCTCTTTGTAGTTTTAATTTTTTTATTTTAGAAATTATAGGGAGGGCTAATTTATTTTAATCATTATGTGTTACTAATAGCTTCATTTTTCAGATAGAAGTTAATAGAAGTTATTGAAGCTGTTGAAAACTTTTTTTTTTTTAGAGACAGTTTCACTTTGTCACCCTTGGTAGAGTGCTATGGCGTCAAAGCTCATAGCAACCTCCAGCTCTTGGGCTTAGGTGATTCTCTTATCTCATCCTCCCGAATAGCTGGGACTACAGGTGCCCACCACAATTCCCCGGCTATTTTTTGGTGGCAGTTGTCATTGTTGTTTAGCAGGCCCAGGCAGGCTCGAACCTGCCAGTCTTGGTGTATGTGGCCAGCACCCTACTCATAGAGCTACAGGCGCCAAGCCAAGAAGTAGTCCTTAATAAATAAATTTTAGCTTGGACTTTGTATTAATGGAGGGACCCCACGATGAGTTATTGAAGGCTAAATTTGCAATTAGATGATTGATTTTCACTCCAGATAAAGACGTAATTGATTTCTGAGTTCTCCAGATATACATTGTCCATTTTTGCCCTGTAGGAGATTGTTCGCTTTTAAAAAGTGAAAGCAAATGTGGATGGTTTTAATCAGAATAACAAATGTACTTACAGGTATTCTAGAGTATGTTAGATATAGTACATGACATATTATAGTATGTTAATAGTAGAATTATATGTATGTTTGCCTTTAGAGGATAATACTCTACTACTTGAGTATGAACAATAGAATCATAGAATTACAATAGTAGAATAGTAGAATTATACATATGCTTGCCTTCAGAGGGTAATACTCTACTACTTGAGTATGGTCAGCAGTATACTACCGTATATGATTGAAATAGAATACTTTTTAAGTTTTCCAAAAACGTGATTTATATGGATTGATGCTTTCAGGTAATATGCTTACTGAATACAGCTGCTTTTCCTTTTGCTTTGTGTTCAGATGTGATTTATTCTCTCATGATTTAATTAATAGGTGTGTAAGTTCTGCTTTTTACTCAGGAGTGGTATTATTCAATTTTGCAAATAATATTTTCCCCCTAACTTAAGAAAACAAGAAGCAGAGGTCCAGACCTAGGAAGCCACGGAGAACTAGAAATGAGGAAAATGAGCAGGATGGAGACTTGGAAGGCCCTGTGATTGATGAGTCTGTGCTTTCAACAAAGGAGCTCCTGGGCTTACAGCAGGCTGAGGAGCGATTGAAAAGGGACTGCATTGAAAGGCTAAAAAGGGTAACATCTTTATACATGTTTATTTGTTAAAATCCTTGTTTTGATTTAAACTATATTAGTAATTGGGGGTTAAATAACATTGTGTAAGAGTAATTGCTATTATACTTAAAACGACAATTAGGATAATGATAAAGGGAAACTATTTTAACAGTTTTGAAAGTGAAGGAGAAGCTAGGCATGTTGGCACACGTGTAGTCCTAGCTACTTCAGAGGTTTAGGCAGGAGGGTCACTTGAGTCCAAAAGTTCAAGTCTGTAGTGTGCTATAATTGTGCCTGTGAAGAGCCACCACACTTCAGCCTGGGTAACATAGACTATATCTCTTAAAAAGAAAAAAAATGAGGAGAAATAATTCTCTGGCTAATTGTGTTTACCTGTGTGTTTGGAGAAACATATCTTTGTATAAATATGAATCTTTTCACATTATAGCGACCACGAAACTACCCTACAGCAAAGTACACCTGCAAACTCTGTGATGTTTTAATTGAATCCATTGCATTTGCCCATAAACATATCAAAGAGAAAAGGCACAAGAAAAACATAAAGGTGAGTTTAACATAACCCAAATAAATATGTTATCTGTGAGTTATTGCTTGTCATCTTTGTGACTTTATTCTTCTTAAGGCTGTGTTACTTATAACTTCACTACTTTATTTCTTGAATTTATTTTAGCCAAGATACCTTATGCTAGTCAGATGTGTTTTGCTGGGCAGCCTTGTTAATTTCCTTCAGTATCAGGACACATAAAGTCATCAGTAGGACCTAAGTATATGTCCTTGTCCCTGTAATAACCAAATAATCAGTTTATCATTGCTGTTTTTACTCTTTCCTTCCTTCTGCCCATTCTTTTATCACTGATCCATATTACATGCATAAAAATGTATGTATATGTTTAATAGGATGAAGACTAACAAAGCTAAGATGAAAAGTGGAACTAAGAAAAAGATTCTAGAAAATTTTCTAGTGTGCTGTCTTAGTGAATGGTAGGTTAAAACTGTGTTTAAGTCATTTTTAATCTCAACTTTTGATCTTAAAAGGAAAAGCAAGAAGAAGAATTGCTCACTACATTACCCCCACCAACACCCTCCCAGATAAATGCCATTGGCATTGCTATCGACAGAGTGGTTCAGGAGTTTGGCTTGCACAATGAGAACTTGAGACAGAGGCTAGAAATTAAATGTATCATGGAAAAAGTGTTCCAACACAAGTTACCAGGTATTTTCTAGAATTTTATATTTAGCTACGTAAAATTACTTTATTCATTTTTCCTACCAGTCATAATTTTTGCCTAACATTTGCCATGTCCTGAAGCTCTTAGTTTTTGTATTTTTGGTTTTTGTTCTTCCTGGCTTCCCCCACTATAACAAAGACTTTAACATGTATTGTCATTGTGAACCTGTTTTCATTATAAACTTCATTGTGTTTATGAATTTTAAGTTGAGTGTCTCATTAGGGCACTATGGGACTCTTGTGTATATACAGAGTGGCCATTAAGTTTATCTGGAATTTCAAATAGACAATCTGTATTGTCTGTTTACTTGTTTACCTTTCTCTCCATCTAATCAACACAGTATTTTAAGTTATAAAATCAAGAGAAGTATCCTGAAATTATTTTTAGGTTGTTGGTGTCAAAAAATGGTTTTATTGGGTGGCACCTGTGGCTTAGTGGGTAGGGTGCTGGCCTCTCATACCGAGGGTGGCTGGTGTCCTACCCACTGCAACAAAAAAATAGCCGAGCATTATGGCAGGTGCTTGTAGTCCCAGCTACTCGGGAGGCTGAGGCAAGAGAATCGCCTAAGCCCAGGAGTTGGAGGTTGCTATGAGCTGTGTGATGCCATGGCACTCTACTGAGGGCAATAAAGTGAAACTATCTCTCTACAAAAAAAGGGGGAGATGTTTATTTAACCATACAAACATCTAAAATGAGCTTAGTAAACTAGATTGTAAGTAATTTGTTAATGGATTTTGTGTACTATTGAATTGATTTTCCAAGTGTCTGCTGCCTATTTTTAATTTTAGATTCTTGGTTTGAGGGGGTGGGGAGCACAGTATTTGGAGTATGTTATTTAATGAAAATTTGAGGCCAGGTATGGTAAATGCTTGACACAGCTGCTATCAGTTCTTGGCAGCAACAAACTCTGTCCTTGTGCATGCACATGCATGCACACCCACACATACACCCTGTTATTCCTATTTAGGTAAATGATGAGAGTAGGTTTATCATTCTTAATCCCTGCTGTGCATCAGAATTATCTGTGAGCCAGGAACAACTACTTCCAGAAAATTACTGTAGATAATTCCCATCCACAACTAGTGGTGGAATCATTATTTAAATTTATCACCTTATGAGCTGTAGAACTGCAGTAGAACTTCCATAGTTGACATCTCCCTACGTTGACCACCACCTTAAAGTGACTGATTTACCTAGAACATCTACCACATGTGCATATCAGTACAGTAGTCCTACTTCCGTATGTTCACCTCAGTATGTTGAAGAGTTTGTTACAGTCCCTGGAGTGGTCAGCTTGCAGAGAATTCTATCATATTTGTTTTACTGAAAGATCATATGGGTTGATTGCCTTGTAGTGCTCACACCTGTAATCCCAACACTTTGAGAGGTCAAGGTGGAAGGATTGCTTGAGGCCAGGAGTTTGAGATCAGCCTGGACAATAGCAAGACCCTGTATCTACACAAATTTTTAAATTAGCTGAGTGTGGTAATGCATGCCTGCAATCCTACCCATTTGGGAGGCTGAGGTGAAATAATCACTGGAGCGAAGAATTCAAGGTTGTAGTGAGCTGTGATTGCTCCCTTACACACCAGTCTAGGAGCTAGAGTGAGACCTATCTCTTTAAAAGAAAAAAGAACATACATATAGTAATTGTAACATAAATACTTTCATAGAATAAGGGGAGAGAAGCTATTCATACCATAGGTATATCCTGAAAAGTCAATTGTGATTTTGATGATTTTTGGCTGTATAATTCTATACAGAATTGAATGTACTTGGTTATGAAAAACTATTAAAACTCATCATTCAAATTAGCAAACCTCAAATAAAAAGCTCTGATGATAAAGGATGATATTTTTACTACAACAGTAGTAAAATTTTAAAGGTAAATGTCAAAAGTATAGGTGGTACACAATACACACATGACTTCCTCTGAAGAGTGAATTGCTGCCTACTGTTTTAAATTGTATCAGCAATACTGTAATTATTTTTGAAAGTTTTCTAAAGGTATTGTTAAGTGTGTTTGTTCATAATGTAACAGGTGCTTCAAATTAAAGAATAACTTAATGTTAATTTTTTTGTTGTTATTGTTTTACTTAAACATGTTCTTTATAGTAAATTACACCAATGTCTACTTTCCAAAAGGTGAAAAGAAATGTTTGTATTAACTCTTGCATTGTGTTTCCTTTTTCACATTTTAAAAATTAGTTCAAATACTGTTTTCTGCACAAAATGTGATCATGAGAATAAAGGAATTTTATCCATTTTATAACTAGCATGAAATGAATGTATGTTAAGCTAAACCACAGAGAATGCATACAGCTTTCCCTATTTAATAAAATTAAGAGAAGAATGAAGAGCCACTTATTCCTGTCCTTTGTTTATCCCAGACTTGAATACAGTTTTGCTTTTGTGCATATTATTTATTTACTCATTCATAGTGGCAGGCAGGCCAGTGAGCAGTGGGGACAGGAGAGCAAGGGCATGGAGCTGTAACTATCTCCTGAGTGAGCTGGCTGTACTCCCAGCTGCAGGCCACAGCCAGGGCTGGGCTCTTGAGCCTGCCCACCACTATGCATAATTGTAATTGATGGCTCTGTATTTGAAGTAGCAGTGTTCTAAGTTTTAAAATCTTTTATTTATGACTTTTATTTATTTTTTTAGATTGTTCTCTAAGATTATATGGGTCATCCTGTAGCAGTTTGGGTTTCAGAAATTCGGATGTAAACATTGACATTCAATTTCCAGCCATTGTAAGTACAAAATGAAATGTTGGAATTTTCAGAGTGGTGTGGAAATTCTTCTAAATGGGAACTGCATATGAATATATTTTAGATGTTTAAAGATACTTTAAGTATAATGGTGGCAGTTTACCCCCCTAAATTTCCATTTTTATGTCCTCTCCTTTTGTTTCAGAGCATTTTAAAAAATATTTATAGGTTTTCATACTTGTTTTACTCTATAGATCTTTTATACTTATAATACTAGTTTTTTAATTATATGACTCTAATGAGGGTATTTACATTCTATTAACTTAAAAAAAACTAAATTCTCTTAGTAAAATCAGCTTTCCAATGGCAGGAAAAGAAGTCAGATTTCAAACAGCACAGATACATAAATATTTGTGATTTGAAAGCTTAATTAGCTCCTGAGTTTCCTTTATATATATATATACTTATTTTACGAAAATAATTAAGGTTTTACAGAACCACACCTGGTCTGGATTTCTGGTTTAAACATGATTCAAAAAGAATTAATGAGTCAGAATCTTAAATCTGGCACATACCTGGAGTTCCAGCTTCTCTGCAGCTGAGACAGGAGGATCACATGAGCCCAGAAGATTGAAGCTGTAATGAGCTATGATCATGCTTGTGATTAGCCAGTGCAGTCTAACTTGGGCAGCATATTAAGACCCCTATCTCTAACAAACAAACAAGTAAACAAAAAAGAAAAACTGGAAGGCACTTTAGTAGATTATCCATTTTTCCACCGATGCCCATCAGGTCAGTTTGCAGATGGTCTATGTGCAGTCACTTGAGTTGCTTGTTAAAAATCCAGATTCTTGGGTCCCAGTTCTGCTGTTCTATTTCAACAACCTTTCATTCCTTGCCATATCTGACTAGTATAGATACCTGGTCAGCTAACCAATATACCTTTGCTGTTCTTTTAACCTTAACTTCTGATCAGTGCTTTACCAGCCATAGCAATTATTTTGATCTGTTATTCATTCATTTAGCAAATATTCACTAAATCCTTTTTTATGGCAAGCATTATACTAGATTATAATGGACAAAACAGAAATGGTTCCTCTTTCATGAAACTGATATCTAGTGAAGGAGATAAGTAATTACCCATATAATTCATTATTATGAGAGCTGTGCAGAGAAAAAAAGGTTCAGTAGTAGAAAACAAGGACTATTCAGGGATACAACAGCCATGAAGGCATCTTTGAAGAGAACATTTCATCTGAGCTCTAAAAGAGGAAAAGGACCTGGTGAGGAACAGCATTTACAAACACACTAAGTCAATAAGGAGCTTGGCATATTCAAGGTGCTCAAAGAAGCGTATCAATGTGAAGAGATCAAGAATAAGAATATGAGATTAGGATGGGGAGATACGCTGGGGCCCCACATGTAGGGTTGTGTAGGCCATGGTAGAAAATTTTATTATGGTCTAAGAGCAGTAAGATGTCATTAGGAGTTTTAAGAGTTTTAAGGATACAGTTTATGATTTTATATGGTTCTGGTTCCATTGTGGAACAAGGACTATAGAAAAGCCACACTGAAGCTGGGACTGGCAAGCTGTCTGTTGTAATTGTATTGCAGAGTGAGAGGTGATATTGTTAGCAGTTTCATAAACATCAAGATTTGCTGAGAGGAAATTATCTCAATTACTTAATAGTAGTTTACTGTGTAGTAGGGGTTTTTTTGCCCATGTTCATCCTCATTTGGTGCTCATCTGCCTGTCTTTGACATGTGCACACAGCATAATGTTAATTTCTTTACTCTGGTAGCAATGTCCATTTCTAACTTGGAAAACAATTTGGGGAACTTCAGATGTCTATGTTACATCAGTGAAACAAAAGTACTTAGGGATTATTTCATGTATTCATTGGTTTATTTCCTAGATGTCTCAGCCAGATGTCCTCTTACTTGTTCAAGAATGTTTAAAGAACAGTGGTAAGGCCAAATTCCACATTTTAAAATTTTTCTTTTGTCTATAATTTGGATATATCTTCTTTTTCAAAGTTAAAGATAGGAAATCACATTTTAAAAATTACTTACATGGATATTCTCCAAAGGAAAAAAACCAAAGCTAATGCCCAGGAATTATTAACTAGTTAGAGTCCTGTTAGTAGCTCTATGCAGAATAGCCATTTTGTAAATAAAGCTTTTAGCTTGTTGATAACATCACTATTTATAAAGATTAAAAGAGTTCTAGATAAGACTAAGACAGGCAAAATATGTAAAATGCAGAGTATTTTACAAACTAAAGTATATTCTGATTTATTCCATGATTAAAATTAATATTTTACAAATGGTAAATAGGTTTAAATGACAGTACCCTGACTAATCATAAATACCCTGATTAATGAATTCACTGAGTTGTTCCCATTTAGGTTTATCAGTTGTCTAGTATAATGTCCAACTTGGGGCTTTATACCTTTTTGTGCTTTACATGGCCCTCATCAAACTGCCTCATCCGTTGGATTAGTCAGCCCCATGCTTCTTGTTTTGGTTGAATAAAGCATTTTAACATTTTTTTTTTTTTTACTTCAATCAATACATATTTTGACACTGAACATTTTTGTAGCCTTTGTAGCAATTTTGTTTTTTAATGTCTTATCCATATTTCTAATTATGTTATCCACAAAACATTTAAATGTTCTGATCCAATGATACAGTCACTTCTAATTTAATATTAACTTTGCAAAATAGAGATTCTAAATTAATCTGATTACTTGATTTTTGAATGTAAATTTTTTTTACTTTTAAGTCATTTCAGAGCTTTAATAGTGGTCTTTCAAAAGACTAAACTGATAAGTCATAACCGATAATTGCACTTTATCTGGTTCTGCTTTTAACCAAAACTTTAATTAACCTTAATTTATTTTTTCTCCTTTCTTCAGACTCTTTTATTGATGTTGATGCAGATTTCCATGCCAGGGTGCCAGTGGTGGTGTGCAGAGAAAAGCAAAGGTCTCTTTCTTTAAGTTGCATATTTATTAACAACTTGGGAAAGCACAAGTACTTTACTAAATCTTAATGTCCAATTTCTAGAATTATAAAATTTTTATGTAGTTATCAGACATACTTTCCACTAGCATTCTCCCTATACTTTTGGCATTCAATGCAAGAGGAGCAAATCTTTTATTTTGATAGAATAAAATTACTTAATAGAAAAATAAAACATTTTCACCCATATCAACTAGGTGAAAACCAACCTTATCAAATGGTTACTTGCTCTAGTTACCTTTACAGGGTATCCCAAAGGTAGCCGTGCCTAGGAAAATTAACAAACTCATAATTTATATTATATTTTGTATTTTTAATATTTTAATATTTATATGTCAACACCTAGAGAAATATTTTGTAAGTTTTTATAATGAATATTTTGTAAATAAAGGTATATTTAGCTACAATTTCTCATTTTCCCTGTGTATCCAGGTATGGCAAACATTTGGGACATCTTGAATTTGCCATCCTTTCTAGCAGCATTTGTGGCAGCTCTGAGTTATAGTGTGAATTTACTCAGCCATATAGCTCTCCTTCTGTCTAAAAGCATTGCTGTCACTACTATAATGGAGTGGTTTGTATACTGTACTGATACTTCTTTAGGCAAATTCCTCTGACTCTTGAGAAAACACTTTTACAAAGACAAATCATGCTCCCATTTGAAACATTTTATAATATTTTCCTTATTTGCATTCCTCCCCCATAAGTAGTTTTAATATTTGAAAATATGCAGTTCTAGTTCAGAAAAATAAAATTTACTCAGAAAATAGCTACTATATCTTTCTTTGATAATCCAATTTCTTAAATGACCTGTAAAGGTTTAGTGAATTTTTTATTTATTATCTGTGTAAATAGGCTGTTGGTGTAAAAGATACTTGAGACCCATATAACACTTATTTTCTTTCTCCTTTCCTTCCCATCCTGACCCCTAACCCCTACCAGTGGTCTTCTTTGTAAAGTGAGTGCAGGAAATGAAAATGCTTGTCTGACAACAAAACATTTAACTGCCCTTGGAAAACTGGAACCAAAGCTGGTTCCTTTGGTGATTGCATTTAGGTACTGGGCAAAGGTAGGTCTGAGTTCTTTAAATGCATGAATACTTTTCCTTTGTATGCATAAGCAGTATGTTTTGATTTTTACTCAGTTAATTTAATCTCAAGCATTCAGGTGCATATTTATAGACATCAAAAAAGAAGGCATCTGAATATAGGAACAGGAACATTAACATGTACAGAAGGGAAATTCAGTGTTTTTATTTTGAAAAGAGCAAAATGATTTATAGTGCTTAATAAAAATCTGATTTGTGGGTCAAATCCCAGAGGATGTGCCTAAGAATTTGCATTTTAACTAGTTTAGCAAGGTGATTCTTAGGCACAGGAAATTATGATAAGATAAAGCTTCTCGTATTGTTTCAAATAACATACTGAGACTCAAAAAAAAAGAAAGACACTATTTGGTCTTGCTCACATTTCTATAATGTTTATGTATAGTATTCTAATTGAAATGCTGTAATAAACAGTAGAGCATTTACCATTCTCCCAAGGTAAAATCATGATTATAAAGTTGATATTCTATGTTTGTACTTAAGCAAAAGCTTTACTGATTCAGATACAGCAGTAATATTAGATAGTTCCTGTTTCTGGGATCCAGGATGAATAGAAGATACCCCATTCTTTGCTAGTGAATGAAAATTGTAATATGCCATCCATTAAAAACTACTTCCTGCTTCATCACTAAGTAGAACATACCCTTTTTTAGTTGTTTTTTCTGTTAATGTGTTAATGTTGATTAGTTTGCCCACATTCACTTCCCAAATGACCTCTTGACCAAAGCATGCATTTGCAAGGCTGTGGGTTAAGAAGTCTAACTAGCTTGCACTTGGAACTAAATTGTCATTTTTAATTCATAAATGTGTGTTTTAACTAAGTGAATGGATTTACTATGGATAAAGAAAATGAAATAGCAAATATTTTAGGACCCTCTGGAAGTAAGTATGATTAAGAGGTTTAAATATTTGGCTCAGCGCCTGTGGCTAGGCACCAGCCACATACACCTGAGCTGGCTTGGGTTCGAATCCAACCCGGGCCACCAAACAACAATGACAGCTGCAACCAAAAAATAGCCAGGTGTTGTGGTGGGTGCCTGTAGTAGTCCCAGCTACTTGGGAGGCAGAGGCAGGAGAATCACTTAAGCCCAGGAGTTAGAGGTTGCTGTGAGCTGTGCTGCCATGGCACTCTACCCAGGGTGACAGCCTGAGGCTCTGTCTCAAAAAAAAATATAAAAGTAAAAATGAGGTTTAAATATTTGAAATTGAAACTGTCACTTAAAATCACAGTATTTGCTTTTGCTTAAGTATAAGGAAATTGTATATTTTGTCACTGTGCTGTTGTATTCTGAGGAATCACTGTAAATCATGTGATACATGAGAATGAAGTTATAAGTTATAGGCCAAACTCTGTAAATGCAAAGTTGGTACAAAAAGAATGCTTCTCCTTTTTTTTCCTCTTATTTGTAGCTTTGCAGTATAGATCGCCCTGAAGAAGGAGGGCTGCCACCTTATGTGTTTGCTCTGATGGCCATTTTTTTCCTGCAACAGAGGAAAGAACCCCTTTTGCCTGTTTATCTAGGATCATGGGTATTTAAAAATGTTTTTTGCTTATATATCTTTTGCTTATAGAAATTTTACTCATAGTTTACAGCCTCAGAATTAGATTTTGCATAATTTTAAAATACGAACACCTAATAAGAACTGAAATGAATTTGTTTAGTCTGCTAGTATAAATATTTATAAACCTTTTATGCCCAAAATATTAATGTGTTTGATTTCAAGATATGTGTACTGCCTCTATTTCCTGCCAAGGTCATTACTACCTTTCTAGAGTGTAGAATCTCTTAATTTTTGAAATGCATATTGTCCTGATGCTTTCAAATAAGAAACTGTGACCCTGTATTAAATTTATCTTTTTTTTTTTTTTTTTTTAATTATTATGGGCACATACTATATAATAGTTTTATAGCTTTATTGGGTGCAGGTGACTTTTTTGTAGAGACAGAGTCTCACTTTATCATACTTGGTAGAATGCCATGGGGTCACACAGCTCACAGCAACCTGCAGCTTCTGGGCTTAGGTGATTCTCTTGCTTCAGCCTCCCGAGTAGCTGGGATCACAGGCGCCTACCAGAACGCCCGGGTATTTTTTTGTTGCAGTTTGGCTGGGGCTGGGTTTGAACCTGCCACCTTGGGTTTATGGGGCTGGCGCCCTACCCATTGAGCCACAGGCACCACCCTTAAATTTATCATTTGATACATTCCTTTTTAGATAAAGTTTTCTAATTTTTCTTTTTTTTTTTTTGTTTCCTTTTGTTTTGAGATAGAGTCTCGGTTTTTTTGCCCCTGGATGGAGTGCTGTGGCATCATAGCTCACAGCAACCTCAAACTGTTGGGCTCAAGCAATTCTCTTGCCCAAGTAGCTGAGACTACAGGAGCCTGCCATAGCACCCAGCTATTTTTAGAGACAAGGTTTCGCTCTGGCTCAGGCTGGTCTGAACCTGTGAGCTCAGACAGTCCACCCACCTTGGCCTCCCAAAGTGCTAAGATTATAGGCATGAGCCACAGCGCCTGGCCTTAAATACAGTTTTATAAATTGATAATTGAATTTACATATCACCTCGAGTCAGGCTGTAAGAAACATTTGGTCCACTGTAACTTACTTTCACTTTCTAGTCTCTTATTTATTTTTCCCCATAATCTGTAAAACAAAAGAAAATAGAAGCATTGAAATTTGTCATCTGTAGCACAAGATGCAAAGCTTAATAATAGTTAACCTCTTGGCTCCACTGGCTCCCAGTTGTAATCACAGCACTTTGGGAGGCAGAGGCCAGAAGCTTGAGACCAGCCTGGGCAATATGGCAAGACCCCATCTACAGAAAATACAAAAAATTCTCTGGGTTTGTTAATGTTCACCTATAGTTCCAGCTGTGTGAGAGCCTGAGGCAGGAGGATCACTTGAGCCCAGGAGTTCAAGACTGCAGTGAACTATGATCCGCACCACTGCACTCCAACCCCATCTCTTTAAAAAAAAAAAATCACCTCTTGAATAATATTCTAATATTATCTTTAAGATAATAGAATTCAAGCCGGGCGTTGTGGTGGGTGCCTGTAGTCCCAGCTACGTGGGAGGCTGAGACAAGAGAATGACCTAAGCCCAAGAGCTGGAGGTTGCTGTGAGTTATGATGCGACAGCACTCTGGTGACAAAGTAAGACTCTGTCTCTGAAAAAAAAAAAAAAAAGATAATAGAATTTATTAATGTGACCACTCTTTCTTGATAAATTAACATCGAGTCGATTTGTTTGAATAAAATTTAAGAAGAGCACATCTGAAAGAGTCAAAATGATGTTATTTCTATCCTTTTAAGAACCTTATTTTTAATCCCTACGTGTTACCCTGAAAAACTGTTATGGATACGCTAATTTTACATAATGACTCCCTTTTTGAAAAGCTTTCTTTGGCACATTGGATATTTTAACTACTTTTCATCTTACTGCATGCAGGTTTTTCTCATCATTTAAGCAGGATATATACTAGAGCAGTAATTCTAAGTTATCCGTACATATAACAAATAATTATAGGAAATTTTTCTTCATGCTTAATAAATTGAGATTAAGCAGGACTTTATTTACCAGGTCCTGAGAATAAAGACTAAAGTAGAATAAGCCACTTAAAGCTCTATCCTGGCACAAGGGATTACAGTATGCTTTGTATCCTAGTTGCCCAAAGCTAGCTTTCTTTGTCTGTGGTATTGAAATGGAAGAATTTTGGACCATGAGATGGTATCTCTACTAGACTATTCTCCTGATGGAAAGGAGTAAGAGAACAGTCAACTCTTAGTTGATAAATAACTCTTTCTACCAAACCCAAGTAGAAATTTGTAGAAGTCTGTGAAACTTTCTATTCGCCTTGATCCAAGAAATAGAAGTTTAGGATGGAACCAGACCAGTTGGATTCTTGTACCTAAAAGAGTGTTGGAGCAAGTTGAATATGTTGCCTTGTTCTGTACTGTCTTGCTTAGTGAGATCTGCCTTTTCATATGTCCTGCTCTTCTCTGAGTAGTGATTTATCATTGAATACCTTTTTCTGTTGCCTGTATATTAGTTCCTTGGCAATGATACTGGAAAGTAAAGCTGAATTTGATTTTGATCATGTCTTTTGTTTATTTAAAATTTAATGACAAAAACAGGTATGTGGTGATTAAATACTAGGTTGAATTCAGTGGATTCAAAAAGATAGTCTATTACCTGAACCAAAATGATCTGCAAGTTTCAGCATTTTAAACTAGTCAGGCATCATTTTGCTGGCTTCTGCCAGAGTTTAAGTCTTCTAAAGCAAGTGAGGAAAAAGGAATTAATATTGTATTCAGTACCTTCCTTATGCCAGATGTTTTACATACATTATTTCTGTAGAAAAACAAATGAGGCCCTTATCAATATTTATATGGAAGTACCTAAACTGTTAATTTTCAATATGTTTAGTGCACTTGTCATTGTGCTAGTCCCTGAAGGACATAAAAAATGAACAAGACAAATTCTCTGTCAGGAATTTTAGTATGTTGTGCCTCTGTCCTCTGATTTGTATTTTCAAAAATCTTTTAGCCATTCTCTTACCAAGCTACTCAGATGTTTCCCTGTTGGAGTCTGTCTGCTCCAATCTTTACTCTCAGTCAAAATTCCCATTTTATTGTCATTAGATCTTGATGTGACTAAAGTTAATTTCAAAGTTATGAATGATGAATATGGTTAGATACCTTCTCAGCATCTATTGCCCGTTATAGTCTGTTATTAGTTTCCTAGTAGATATTATTTGGAATCTGCCGTATTTTATATTTTATAAACCTGATCCTTACCAAACAGTTATTCATTCCCTGGGGATGCCAGATAATGTAGTAGAAAAAAAGAATAGTTTTAAAGTTTGACAGCACTGGGATTCAATTAGGTTTTAACACTTAAACATCTTGTGACCTTGAGCAATTTGTTTAATCTCTGAACCTAAGTATCATTCTGAACCTTAAATGATATAATGAATGTAAAGCTCCAGAAACAAGGTAGGAGAACAAATGTTAGTCCTTTTCTCCTTCAATAGAAAGTCCAGTTCCACTTACGGTGTGAAAGTGTGAACTCCTAACCAAGTGGTCCTTCCACCAATAACAACTGTGAACTCTGGACAATATACAAAAATAACAGCATGAGTGTTCTGCAGACTGAACAAATGCAAACAGACTTTGGAGGGGAGTCAGAATTTGGAGCAAGTAACCACACAAAATTTGGAGCAAGTAACCAACACACAGAGTGAGTTTTCTGTTTTTCTGTGGCTCTACCCCTAAAGACAACTCTGATAAAACAAAGGCTTCTTTCTGACCAGAGGAATCAGGGCCATCAGAAAATAAGTGGGGAGGGAGTACCCAAAAGACAGTAACAGAGAAGTGGAAACCTTACTTCTGTATCAGAACTCAGCATGTTTCTGGCTGACTCTTGAAGCAGTCTTGTTCTGCCCGAAAGCAACATGGAAATCATCATTCCCGTCCTCGCAGCAAGCACAAAACTGAACAAAGTGAAAATAAACAACTTTTAGTAAATCCATCTGACAGTTGAGATTAGGGGACAAATCATTGACCCCCAAACTGGATACCAGGCTAATAGAGTGAAACACAGCTACTAGAACAGAAGCTCAGGAGCAGAATCCTGCCATGGGAGCCAGTACCAGGATAGAAATGTTTAGTATAGCTGGCAAATTCCTAGAGCCTCCTTTGGATAAGCTTGAGAGTTAAAAAAACTCCTCCGGTTCTTAAAAGGGCTTCCTCAGACTTATGAGTTTTCCCTCCAAGAATAACACCTAAATCTGAGGGTGAAGATCTGAGAAAAGTCCCTAGTGTTTCTGCCAGGGCAGGAGGAAAAGTAGCCATTTAGAAGTACACCTAGAGCATTCTGTTCACCTTTATAACAGTCTGCCTTCAAGGGGGATGTAAGAGCCTCACTCTCTTGGTTTTTACTAGGGCCCTATCCACCCAGGGGAGGAGAAATACCCAACTCCACCTCCTCTAGTCTTTCTGTCTCTTCTAAGAATGGTGGAAAGAGAAAGAGGACTGAGAAATACTTTGGAAGGTCAGAGTCTCGATAAAAGACTGAGACCTAATCTTAGGACTATACAGTGTTTTCTTTCCTCAAGGATCACAGGATCTGAACTATAAGTCTCAGACCTTATTTAAGAAATCTTTAGCAAAATGCAAAAATAAGGGAAACAAAAAGAACACCAGAGAAAAGTTTTAGCCTCTATACATCTACTGGAAACAATAAACATAGCCAACTCCTAGCCACACTAAAAGTCTTTTTGCCTTAGTTCCTTTTACCTGTTTATCAAGCTCAGTTTTGAATCAAACATTATAAAGTATGCTAAAGGCAAAAACCACAATTTGAAGAGACAGAGCAAGTATCAGAACCAAGCTCAGATATGGCAGGGATGTTGAAATTAGATTAGGAATTTAAAAAATAACTATGATTAATATGCTTAAGGCTCTAATGGAAAAAATTGACAACATGATAGCTGGATAATACAAACAGAGGGAAAAGTCCTAAAAAAGAAT